CGTGGGGAACTCTTGGCGGCCTCCTGGGCGCCTCTTGGGGTACCTGGGGCACTCTTGTAAGCCTTTGGGGCCATCTTGGAGGACATCGATCAAAGAAAAGTGAGTCCTGAATTAGCCCCGCCCCCCAAGCAGGCCAAACATGAGCCCAAAACCTCAGTAGCATCAATGACGATTGCCTTCTAGCCGATGCCTTCTTGGACGCTCCACTGGTTCGCGGGGCGCCCCATCCAGGTCTTAGGGGAGGGTGCAGGGTGAGGGGTCAAGACATGTCTCCCGGATGCAGACTGTGTGGCTCACTCCCACCCGCCCTCGTAGTGCCGCAGTCCTCGCACATTCAGCGATCGCCTCTACATGGGCAGCTACTGGGAACCACTGCGGGCCCCAGATGCGCGACGCTGGGGCTAGGTGCGCCACACGTGCCAGGCGCGCCGCTCGCAGCATGCGCGACAGGCGCCCCTGGGGCCCAAGCGTGCCAGGCACGCCTGGTGCGCCAGATTCGCCATGTGCTCCACGTGCGCCAAGTATGCCGCATGCTCCAGCCGCGCGAGGTGGGCCACTTTGGGGCACGCGCGCAGTGTGCCAGGTGCGCCCTCGCACATCGGGAAGCATGCCAGTCCCCACCATCCTTTCCCAAAGCCAGTGCACAATCGCGGCGGAGTGGCCATCATGATGTCTGGTGGGCTTGCACACAGCCGGTAATATGCCAGCACCCCCGCAGTCCCTGACAAAAAAAGTGATCGCGGGGTGCCCGCGCATGATCCAGATTTAGTCGCGAAGTACAGTTTGGACTTGTGTTTGACGAGGATGGTGGCCCTGCGCACAGCAGGCCATGTGTTGGCACCCCCGCGGCCACTGTCAACTATCGATTGCCGCAAAGTGCACTTCGTCGTGTTCCTAGGCAGGGATGGCGAGGGGGGGTGTCCCTCATGGTCCCGGGTTTGTCGCTGGTCGGGGGGGGAGGGGGTGCACACCAATGAGGAGCAGTGAGAACACCCTCCCCGAAGGGTCAAAGGCAAGATGGAAGTGGAAACGCGCTGGACCACCTCGGCCGAGAGGGCGCTTGGGCTTTTGTTTCGAGCGATCCCCATCCCGAGAACGCGAGGCTGGATCCCCAGGGAGCACCAGCACTCGGGGGGCCCAGCGGCCGCGGCATTCAGTCGCCACTCGTCGAAAACACGAGGCGGGATCCCCAGGGACCACAGGCACACTTTGGGTCTGGCTGCCTGCCTTCAGGATGTGCGAGGCGTCTCGGGAGCTCTTCTCCCTGAATCTGGCAAATCCAGCCTGTTGTGTAGAGAGGAGTGCGTTTCTTCTCCCTAGCTGTCCCCGCCGAGTCTCGGCGGTCGGGCCTCCCTCCTCCTTTCTCCTCCGCGGCCGCCCTCTTCTTTCCCGTTTTTTGCCGTCCAGCGAAGTCATGTGGCGGAAGGCAGGGGGGGGGCGGGGGGCAGGGAGCGGGGAAGGGAAGGGCCAGGCGCGCGGCACGCAGCCTGGCGCATTCAACTAACTAGTCTGGCGCCCTCGGGCGGGCCTCCCAGCGCGCTTGGATGGCGCCCCGCCAGGCCGCCTCCGCGCCGCCCGCGCGCGCCGCTGGGAGCAGGAGCAGACCCGATGCCCGTGGCGGCAGCGCCGGCGCCCACCCAGCGCAGGGGCGACAGGCCAGGAGCTCCCACGTGGGGGCCCGGCAGTCGCATCGCATGCAGGCCGCCCACCCTGGCCCTTGCGAGGTGACGTGCGCGCGCCAGGCGCCGCCGGCGAAGAGCGCACGGGCCGCCGCGACGGGGCTCGGGCGCGGCGCTGCCGGCAGCGCTCCCCTGGCCGCGGCCGCCGCCGCTGCCGCGTCGCCGCCCTCGCGGGGCGCAAGGCGCCGCGGGTGCCGCCCAGCGGCGTCGCACGCGCGGCGGCGCCTGCCCAGTGCTGCCGTGCTGGCTAGCTTTGAGCACCGCCCGCCAGCTCGGCCTCGGCCAGCATCACCTGCAGCGTCCCGGGGGGCGTGCAGCGTGACCCCGCGAGACTGCAGGAGGTCCGGCGGCGGCAGCCGCGCTGAGGCCGCCGCCCCAGCATGCTCGTCCGCGGCGGTATTGCCCAGCCGGTCCTCAGTAAACACCCCGCGCGCGGCCGCGCCGTCCTCGTCGAGGTGGCCCTTGATCCACCTCACCGTCAGGAGCCCGCACCAGCAATGGGGCGCGATGAGATCCCACAAGTCCGAGTGCGACCGCTCCCGTAGGGAAACGCCATGCGGAGATACCATCTAGACGTACTGCGAGTCTGTGACGACCTCGAGGGGCTGTTGGGCCGCGTGAAGCGCTTGCACCGCTGCCGTGAGCTCGGCGCGCTGCGCAGTCTGCGCCATGTCGACCCCGCCGCTGTGGTCGGTTCGCGAACCCGCGGTATCCTCCAAGCGGAAGCCAAACCCGGCGCCAGGCCAGGCCGGTCGGGTGCTTGCACACGCCGTCGGCCCAGGCCGGGCACCGCGTTGCGCCTTCCTCGGGCGGGAGCGGCAGGGGGAGCGCGGGCGCGGGGACGCTGGCGCTGGCAGCAGCAGCGAGCGCGGCCAGGCGGGCGTCGAGCGGAAGCACGCCTGTGTTCGCGACTCCCGGCGGCAGGCGAGCCTGCAAGGCAGCGGCCGAGAGGCCCCGGCCACGAGCGCCGCGCGCTTCCCCATCGGCCCGCTGCGGGCAGTCCCAGGACCAGTGCCGCCTGTCCTCGCGCGCGGCGCCGCTGTGCGGGCACCGCTCTGGCTTGCCCCACCTCGCGGCCACCGCTCCGGGACCACGTTGCCGGCCAGCACCGCGCGCAGGGCGCCAACGGCGTCTGGTGCCAGAGCGCCTTCCTCCCCCAGCAGCCGCCGAGTGGCCCAGCTGTCGACGCCCGCCTGCGCGCGCGCGCGAAGGCCACGCGGCGGACCGCCAGGACGCGGGCCTCCCGGCGCGCCCAGGCTTCTGACAGGACGCTGCGGGTGTCCTGCAGCGGGCGCTCCTCCGGGCGCCAGCCTGCTGGCGCGGCGGGCCCCCCGTCCGTCTCCGCGCCCCGCGCCCGGCTCGTCCCGCCAGTACCAAACTCCCGCGCTTGCGATCGTTGGCGCTGCCGGCGCAAAGTACCCTCGCCGCTCTCTCGGGCTGCTCTGGAGGCAGGAGAGGGGCCCGCCCGCGCGGGCACGAGCGAAGAGTGCCGCCACCCCACCAAGGGCTCCCAGCTTCGCGCTTCGCGCTGCGCGAAGTGCGAACAACTTCGCGCTCTCGCGCCGCCTCCCAGGGAAGAAGAGGAGGAAGAGGAGGAATCGGAGCGAACCGCGAAGCGCGAATAACTTCGCGCCCTCGAGGGCGCCCTTGCCCACAGGGCGTGGCATAGAGAGGCGTGGTGGCGCTGCCGAGTCTGGCGATGCGATCTATCGTCGACCACATCGTCCTTTCCACGATTGGCACCAACCACACCCCTTTACGCCACACCCCCTCCACAATACTCGGCCATGCGCAAAAGGGGGGCAGGGGGAGAGGGGAAGGCTTCTCAGAACTACCCCTGCCACTTCGAAGGCGCGAACTCGTCTGATAGATGCAAGGCCGGCGGCCTCTAAGGAGCAACCTCCTTCTAAGAAGCTTTCCCCCCTCCCCGCTACCCCCTTCTGCGCGCCGCCAGAATACTGCCCCATCCGCCCCCACGGCCACCTCGTGCACCGAGCCCTGCCCTTGCACATCCGCACAAGCCCCACGCTGTGCCGCGCCGCCGCGGCCCGGGGCCGCCACTGGCACTCCCCCCCGTGCCCACCAGGGCTCGCTTCGATTCCTCCGGTCCGATTCGATGCGACCTCGATGGCCTCCGATCCCGATTCCGATTCGACTCGGGATTCCGACGTGGGCTCCGCTTTCTCAGTCGAGGCCTGCCGGCCTGGCGAGGTCCGCCGGGTCGGCTCCTCCAGACGCGGCTCCCGATTCCCGCTGGTCCGAGGAGTTTCGATCGCCGATGCGACGTACCGATCCGATCTTTGGGCTCACCTGCCCACCACCCACCGCTCGGGAAACTTGCACAAGGAAGTAAGACAAATCGTCGGGGCTGGACAGAACCCCCAACAGCGACACGTCGATTAGTAAATCGTCCGTTTTCGGCTCTCGAGAGGGCGCCGTGGCCGTCATTTGCCAGGCTTGCGCCCGCAAGGTTTGGGCCTCGGGTCGTTTTCACTGAACCACGTTTTGCTAAAGGGGGGTCTGTCCATCCCCGGAATCGAGGATGGTGGTGTCCGGCCACGCGCGACGGGGGTGTGGGGGAGGGGGGAGATTGAGCACCCCTGCTTCTGAGAGAAGGTGCGGGCCCTGTCTGCAAAGGTGGGGCCGGCGCCTTCTGGGGAGCGGGCTCCCTCCAAGAAGCCTTCCACCTCAGGGGGAGGAGGGAAGGCTTCTTCGACGCACCCTTGCTTCTCGGAAGACGCGGGCTTTGTCTGTAGATGTAGGGCCGGCGCCTTCTAGGGAGCGGGCTCCTTCCAAGAAGCCTTCCACCTCAGGAGGAGGAGAGAAGGCTTCTTCGAAACACCCTTGCTTCTCAGAGACGCGGGCTTTGTCTGTAGATGTGGGGCCGTCGCCTTCGAAGAGGCGGGCTCCTTCTAGGAAGCCTTCCCCCTCCCCCCACCCCCTTGTGCGCGCCGCCCAGGTATGCGCCCCCGCCTCTTCTCCCGCTCCCCTCCAGGGCTTGTTAGGATTTCTCCGATTCGAGTCGATTCGGCTTCGGAGGCTTCCGATTCAGTTTCGAATCGGTTCGGGATCCCGATTTCTCGCTGGAGGCCTACTGGCCTGCCGATTTTCGCCGATTCGGCCTCTCCCGACTCGGCTGCCTATGTCCGCCGAGCCGATTCGTTTCGATCGCCGATCCGACTGATCGATCCGATGCTTGGGCTTCTTGCCCTCTGCCCCCCGCTGTAGAAGTGGGTCAGGTTAGTCCGAGCAGTCGTGGAACCGACATGGATCCAACAAACCACCACATAATTAGTATTCATCGATGAACAACAAGAATCACAAACATAAATTTTCGACGGCCACGCGGACCTCTTGGATCCGCGCTGGGCCCGCCTGGCGGAGCCTCCAGCTCCACCCCTGGCGCGCTCCGCGCGCCAGAGAGGGGGTTCTAGCACGAATCCAAGAAGTCCGCGCGCATCGTCAAAAGTTTACGTTGATGCTCTTCCTCTGCGCGCCTAGTTCAGGCAGCTTGTCTTTTTTGTGAGGTGCTGGTGTGCTGGGCTGGTGCGTCTCTCTTTGAACACCCGCCGCGCCTCGTGGCCCGAGCCCTGCCCCCGCACATCCGTACACCCTTGCCGCCGCGGCCCCGCGTCGCTCGAAGAGATGGCTCCCGTCCGCGCCGCCCTGGCGGCCGTGGCCGCGCTGGCGCCGCGCGCCGGCGCCGTGTCCCTGCGGGGCGTGGAGGAGGCCGCGGGGGCCCCAGCCGTGCATTGCCCCCCCGCGATCGGCAGGTCGACCGAGCGACTCCGGGCTCGATGTGCTCGGGCGGCTGTCGTCTACCCTCGGCGGTGGTGCAGTCATCGAGCGGGAGGTCCGGCGCAGGATCCCCCGGATTGATGTCCTTCGTCGAGGCTACGACACATACGTAGGGTGCTCCGTAGATCTACGGAACACCCTACGCATCGTACAAGAACTTTACGACATAATCAACGATTTGGGGTGAATCAGATCTCGCTTCGAACTCCACCTGGTTCGAGTTTGGTTCCAACCTGCTTTCCGTGGAAGTCCCGCGCGAGATCTACGGTTTGGAACCGAGGCTGAACCTGGTTCGAACCAGCTTTCCGAGACAGTCCCGCACGAAACGTTCATCTTCAATTGTTTGGTACCGAACTCGGACCTGGTTCGAACTTGCTTTCGAGAGAGCTTCGCACGAGACGGCCATACTTAGATTGTTTGGAACCGAGTTCGAACCTGGTTAGTTTTTTGTTTGATGAAGCTCCACGCGATTCGCCGCTTCGGAACCGCCATCCGATGTAGCCGAATAAAAATGGCATTGGGGGTGCAAGCCCGATTTTGCCCGCCCCTCGCTGGAGCAGCTCCTACTCCCGTCGCATTGCACCAGGCTCCGCGCGCCGAATTGGGCACCTCCGATCCGCGCTGCGCCAGCGTGTCAAACATTGGTGATGCTTCATAACGGCACAGTGGATTTTCATCGTTTTGTTGTACAGTTCGCCGGTCAGGGCTCGCACGCGCTCCGCCATTTGTGGAGGCCGCGCCGCGTTTCTTCTTCAGGTTCGCGCCAGCTTTGTGCAAGGACAGAAGGCCTTCTTGGCTACCTCCGTCGCCTTCGGCCAGGCTTTTTGGGCTATCTCCTTCGCCTTCGGGCAGGCTTCTTGCGCGATCGAACTTGCAACTTTGCCAGATTTCATAAATTTTGCACGTGGCCCGACTTTTGCACACGGCCCCTCTGGAGGCGTCTCAAATCAGCATCAAGCGGCATGACTACTGAAACTCATCTCAGCCACTTGAACCAAGGTGTCAACCGAAAGCACGGCTTGGCACTGCCAAAAGGGCGGTCTGAGATTGCCAGGTGGATTTTGTTTGTTTGTTGGGCAGTTCGTCGGCCAGGGCCCGGGCGCGCTCAGCCATTTGTGGGGTCCTTGCCGCGCTTCCTGGTCACGTCCGTGCACGTTTTGGGCAAGGACGGGTGGTTCTTGGCTACCTCTCTCGCCGCTGCCCAGGCGTTGGGGTGCGCTCGAACCTGCTGTTTGTTGTCAAGCTTCGTAACTTTTCCCCATGGCGTTTCAAGAGCATGGATACTGAAACGTGCTTCAGCCACTTGAGCCAAGATGCCGACTGGAAGCACGGGTTGACATTGCCAAGAGGACGGCCTGACATTGCCCCGTTTGTTTCATGTTGTGCAGTTTGTCGGCCAGGGCCCGGGCTCGCGCAGCAATTTGTGGAGGTTGCACAGCGTTTCTTCACGTCCGCGCACGTTTCGCGCAAGGGCAGAAGGTAGTTTGGTGCTAACTCCTTCGCCTTCCGCAAGGCTTCGGGCGCGCTCGAGCCTGCTGTTTTGCAAACTTTCGTAATTGGTCCACACGGTCTTGCCCGACGCTTCTCACATCGGCATGAAGCGGCATGGCGTCTGGATCTCACCCCAGTATGTTGAAACAAGATGGTTATTGGAAGCACGGCTTGACACTGCTAAGAGGACGGTCTGATATTGCCAATTTGTGTTTAGTGTGTTTGTCTACAGTACGTCGGCCAGGGTTCGGATGCGCACAGCCATCTACGAAGACAGCGCCGCTCCTTTTCTTTTTCATATCCGCGCACGTTTTTGTTTTGTTACCTCCTCCGCCTTCGGCCAGGCTTCGGGCGCACTCGAACCTGCTGTTTTGCCAAGCATCGTGACTGTTGCACATGGTTCCGCCAGAGGCTTCTCGAATCAGCATCAAGCGGCATGGCTTCTGCAATGCACTTCGGCAACTTGAGCCAATATGTACATTGCAACAACCGTCTGGCATTGCTGATAGGACGGTCTGACATGTCCCACGGGCGCGATCGAATCAAGTTTCGCCCGAATGTGCCATGGCGGCACTCATGGGCACGATGCTAAAGAATGACGAAAGATGCAGGGAACACACAAGACCAACCGAGTTCGAGCTCGGTTCGAACCTGCTTGTCGAGGAAGTTCCGCGCGATATGCACACCTTTCTATTGTTTGGAACCGAGCTCGATCCTGGCTCGGACCTCAGATTCGCAGGAATCCTGCACGATACTCTGTTCAGTTGTTTGGAACCGAGTTCGAACATGCGGTTCGCCGTGTTGGACCCGCTATCCTAGTTTGCTCAATAGAGTTCGGTCGAGGTTGCCCGCCTCGCGCTGGTACAGCTCCACTACCGTCACATTGTGCCAGGTTCCGCGCAGCGAACGGGGCACCTCCGTTCGCGCTGCGCACGCGTTTCAAGAATCGCGCAGTCTTTTTCCACGGCACAGTATACGCGTTGAGTGGCGCTCGAGCCGATAAGGACGAACAGCCTTGAAATGATTGGTGTTGCTGCTGTTGTTGTTGATGACAACGCTTCCCAGTGCCCCGGCCCCTGGGGGGGGGGGTGGCAGCAGGCCAGCGCCCGCGCAAGGGCCGCCCACGCAAACACCCACAACAACGCCCACACCCACACCGACGCCCACGCCCACACCCACGCCCACACCCACGCCCACAACAACGCCCACGCCCACGCCCACGCACGCGCACACGCCCACGCCCACGCCCAAGCCCACGCCCACGCCCACGCCGACGCCCACGCTCACGCCGACGCCCACGCCCACGTCCACGCCCACACCCACGCCCACGCCCGCACCCACGCCCACGCCCACGCCCACACCCACGCGCAAGCCCACGCTGGGATCCTTAGGATGTTGCAGGGATCCTGATAGGATTCTTATGGGTTTCTCTCGGGATCGCCTAAGACACCTACAGGATCCCGTGGGGGCCCCATCGGATTGCCATCGGATTCCTTAAGGTCCCCTCACGGTTTCTGTAGGAGTCCTTCGTCGTCGTCGTCGTCGTCATCGTCCTCCGCATTCCTCCTCGTACTCGCCATCGTTCTCTGCGTCCTCGTCTTTGTGCTTCTCTTCCTCCTCGTGGTCCTCATGCTCCTCATCGCTATTTTCACGTTCTCTACGTCGTCCTCGTCATCGCCTCCTCGTCGCCCTTGCCTTCCGTTTCTTCTTCTTCGCCCAATGAGCGCATTTGGTTAAAGCGGGGTTTCCCCTCTTGTCCGATCAGTTTGCCAACGGATTCCACAAGGTCCCCATACGGTTCCTATAAGAGTCTGAAGGGATCCCATCGCACTTCTATCTGGCCCCGCAGGGATTTCAAAAGTCGCTCATAGGATGCGCAGGGATCCAATAGAACTATTGTAGGAATATGAAGGGATCCCATGTAGCCCCATGGGATGATGTCAGGAACTTAGACGGTTCCTTTAGGATTCCGCGGGGATCCCATAGAATTGCTACAGGATCCCGTAAGGGTACGATACGACTCGTATACAATGCTTTGATAAGACTCCTATCGGACTCCGTAGGGATCCCATATGGTTCCCGTGGGATTCCGTAGATCCGATAGGTTCCCCATAACATCCTTTGGTTGTTCCATAGGCTTCTATCAGATCCCATTGGACTCTTGTGAGATTTCGTCGGGGTCCAATCGGATTCATAAGCGGATTATGTAGTATCCTCTATCGTCCTCTGATAGGACCCCCTTGGACTCCTACAGGGTTTCGTCGGACCCCTGCGAGGATCCTGAAGATCTCCTATTGCAGTCTTGTATGTCTCATGCGGTAGCATAAGGATACCATCACATTCTAATCGAATTCCGCGGGTCTCCTATGGAACTCCTATGCGGCTCTTGTGGGGCCCCCACTCGATTCCTAGTGTCTTTCTGTACGCTTCCGTAGGGATCCCATCGGGTTCCACTGGGATCCTATAGGCCTCCCGTAGGATTCCGTGCGCCGAAGTTGGCGCAGCCGTTGTGGCCTCCGGCGGACCTCCAAGGGGGCACGATGCTTGTGAGAGGTGTGCCGGGACTGGCGCAGCTGCTGTGGCTTGCGGCGGAGCTGCGGTCTGGGAGCTACGATCCGTGTGAGGTGTGCGCCGAAATCAAGGCAGCCGTTAGGGCCTGTGGCGGAATTCCCAATGGGGGCCAGTCCTCGTAAGGGGGTTTGCCGAAACGGGCGCAGCCGCTGGGGTCCCGGCGGAGCTCCCACTGCGGGCTACGATCGTCGTGATGGGTGTGCCGAAATGGGCGCAGCCGCTTGGGGCTGCGGCGGAGCTCCCATTCGGGGCACGATCCTCGCGCGAGGTGTTCCGAAAGTGGCGCAACCGCTGGGGGCCTTCGGCGGAGCCCGCATCTCAGTGGAGATGGATATGGGTCTAATATGATCTTATTAAAGCCCTACTCATCTCTGATCGGGCCCCCTGAGAGCTCCATCCATCTCTAGTAGGATCCCAGTCGAGCTCCATCCATCTCTAGTATGATCCTATGGGAGCTCCATCCATCTAGTAGGATCCCATTCAGGCTCCTTCCATCTCAGCTAGGATCGAGACTTCCTCGCGACTCATGTAGGATGCACGCTTCAGCAACCCGCCTGCTCGGCCTTGTCCCCAGGGCCCGCCTTCCCGCCCCGCCTGTTAGGGTTTACCCGCCCGATCTGCCTGTCTGGTTTTACCACGTGCCTTCTGCTCCTAGCCCCCGTCGTGCTACTCTATATCGTGCTCCATCCTCCTCCCTCCCCCTTGTCCCTTCCTTCCATCCGTCCTCCTTTTCCTTGGATAGGGGCTGCATAACATACATGTTACAGGTAAGAAAGATTCACCCCCGAGGGGTACGACCGAAGACGAAGAGGGCGGGCATCGAGGGTTTTGAATATACATGTTGAATTTCACGCGGGCAGATAAGAGCGAACTGTCTTACAATCTTGATGTTGTAGACTGGGTGTAAACAAGACAATCTGACGCGACAGACCTTGCCTTGTAAAGCACACGATGCGAGCCCCGGGAGGGGCACCTCAGTTTTAAAGCAAATTGAGCGCCAGGGGGCTGGTCTACAATCATTTTTTGGTTTCTCGGAAATTGGAGTTCAACATCCCGGACTCCCGAATTGCAGCGTTCGTCGGGCAGCAGATTGAATCTGAGAGATAACCAGAGGCGTCGGTTCAGGGTTGGCGGTGGGAGAGTGGCTGGAGGGGCTTGCTGGCATAGTTCGGGGTGCGAGCATGTTGGAAACGTTGACAGCGCGGCTCGGCTACCGTGTTGGACTTGGTTAGAGCAAGGCTTTGGATGGTAGTTGAGTCGATGTTTGGTCGGTGTGTTCGCTCTTTTGGTTGGCCGCGCGATCAGGAGACTCGACCCGACTGCAGATCGCAATGGACGGTTGCGGGCTGCACAGCCAGTCGTATCACTGCGTGCAGTTGCAATCATCGTTCCGACAAGCTGGTACGATTCAGCCCGCAAGCGGGGTGGCGTCTTTCATGAGAAGGACCAGTTGGGACAACGGCAGCTCTCCCGCCCAACGCACATGCTCTCAAAATCCATCCCTTGACCCCTCCCTAGGCCCATCCTGACCTGACCAGTCTTTCAAGGCGGATCCAGCTGTTCGAGTAGGGGATCGACTACATACTCTATTTTCCCCAAACATAATTTCCGTCGAATCTACGGAATCTACTTAGATTGCTCCGTAGATCTACTGACTATTCTATTTATGTTTCTCCTGGGCTCGACGAGAGCATTCATTTCGGGGTACATCAATTCTGCAGTCGATCCCCCTCGAGCTGTGGCGGCGAGAGGTCTCCAGGAGACCGGAGAAAAGGTGAAAGAGCGCCAGGGAGGGCCGCCGTTTGAGACCCAGCGTTTCTGAGTGACGTATCGGGCGCCGCGGTCTTCTCACAGCGCTCCAGAAAGTTCGCAGGGCGCGCTGGAACGCTCCGTGGCGATGCATCCCGTTGTAGGGCCCATGCTGACGCTGTCTCGATTGGCTTGCACCCAAGTGTCTTGCATGCATGTGGCCTTTTATTATGAGCAGCCGCAGGCTGGAGCAGGTGGAACAGCTTGAACAGGAGGACGGTGGAGGCTAACGACGACCCAGACTCCCGACTTCATGTCGTTTTCCATCACGTCGATCCCCAGAGGTCTCGACCCATTCCTGGGGACTGGTTCTTCATCCTGGGTAGATCTTGACAGTCGCAGAGCCTGGCGAGAGCCCCCGCAGGCAGGAAATAACAAGACATCTTCCGTCGTGCTTCTCTCATGACCCGAGGGGGTCTGGGGAGGAGGAGGAGGAGGAGGAGGAGGAGGAGGAGGATGAGGACGAGGACGAGGACGAGGAGGAGGACGAGGAAGAGGAGGATACCCAGTGCTCATGCATGCCGCTGGGCTCGCTAATCGCGCCGCGGCCTGCTGGGCCCTCCTAGGGGGGCCTCGCGCTGCCGCTGCAGCTGGAGTCCGGGCACGTGCCCCTCTTCGTGAAGTGGGAGGAGCGGGGGTCCGACAGGGGGAGGAGAAGGAGGAGGAGGAGGAGGAGGAGGAGGGGGAGGCGGAGGCGGAGGAGGAGGAGGAAGAAAAGGAGTAGGAGGAGGAAGAGGAGGAATCAGGGGGGGGGACAGGGAGAAGGATCAGGTGGAGGAGGAGGGGGAGGGAAGGAGGAAGGAGAAGCAAGGAACGAGGTGGGAAGGGAGATGAAAGGGGGAGGGGGGAAGATGACAGGCGAGATGGAGGGGTCAAGAAAGCGGGAGGATCGGGAGTAGGTGGATCAGGAGGAGGGGGGAGGAGCATGTTCAAGGAGGAGGGGGGATGAGGAAGAGCGATGTGGAGAAGGCTGAAGGGGCAGAGTTCGAAGGAGGCGGCTGCGCATCGTCGACAGCGGGTGATGGTGCAGGCTGCCCTCGGCTCACCGCTGCCGGGGCATTCTCCTCGATGCAGTGGCCCGCCAGGCTTGGCCTGAGGCGCTTGGAAGAACGGCTGTGCGCGGCCGATTTTCATGACCTCCTCTCAAGCAGTGGCGAAGCGTCCTGGCGTGCCTATAGGCTTGTTAGACAATGTTCTAAGAACCTCTAGTGGTTTCCACGAAATGTTCATAGAACATTTCTGGATGGGAGTGACTTGTTTTATCACATCTGGTTTATGTTCTAAGAACATTGTTTTTGATATTAGAACATTTTTAGGTTCTAGGAACAGTTCGTGGTAGGATTATTGGAATACCGGGACGGCCGGTCCCTGCTCAAGAGAAACATGTGTTTAATTGTCCCTTGGTTCCATCCCCCCATCCCCTCCTCCCTACCCCCGCTATCGTCGTCTTTTCTTGCGCCCAGCGTTCCGCCAGCTCGTTGAAGATTCGCTCACGTTCGTGTGACTGCTCGCTGCTTGGTTGCTGCTCGCCCCCTCCGCTTTTCTCCTTCCCTTCTGCGGATCGATCTGACCGGAAAATGCAGCAGCAAAAATGGGGTCTAGGTCTTTGGTCGTGAGTATTCGAAATGTTTAATGTTTGCTGCAGCGTCAGATGGGCAGTGCCAGTTTTGTGCGATCGGATACCTGTGTTCGTGATTCCTTCGCTTCGACTCCCTCCCAGTGTGCATGTCGATCCGGTTTTTTCCGGTTCGATATCGATTCTGGCCAGCCGGATACGAGTCGATTTTGGTATGTTTATGATCAGATGCGGCCCGATGCTTGCAACGCGTTGTTATGCATCCTGTCGCGGCCGATTCGATCAGTTTTCGACTCCGTCCCGATGCATACCAGTCCGACACATTTTTCGACTCGATCCGATGTCCGCTTCTCTCCCCCGTCCTCCAGCAACAAGCGAGTGCTCAGAGCGACACTACGGGCTGCCCTTTGATCGTGAAAGCTCTCTTCTTGCCTACGCCAGCCCCCCCCCCACTTCACCATGAAGACATGGTCCACCGCTTTCGGCCTCCCAGGTCCCTCCCGGGGTTCCGGGGCGATCGAGAACCTCCTCTCCTCCTGTTGCTCGTCCCTCTGCCCCTCGGAGTAGATGGGGTCGAAGGATCGCGCCGCATCGATAATGCATCGGCGATGAAACTCCATGTGGAGCCCGATCTTCTCCACTTCAACGGCACCGATAAGTCGCTGATGTCGCGGATGCATCGGCGATGCATTGCCGATGCATCGCCGATGTATCGGAGATGTGACGCGATGTTCCGACCCCATCTGCTCAGACCCCATCTAGGAGGCCTCTATCTTTCGAGCCAGGGTTGTCCTTTTCACCAGGGAGGGACAGGACGATGCCGGTCTTGCGGCAGGACAGGTTGCCGACTTCCCACTCGTATGTCCGAAATCTGACATCGGGGCATGGGGTCATCGCTACTGTAAACAAGACTCTGGTTAGCACAGCCGATCCTCGGGGAAGCCTCGGAGTCCAGGGCCTCTTGCCTTCAAGACCCGTTCCCCCCGCGAGGATTATCTCGGAGAGGACTTGCACAATATCAATTTCGTGCAGGTGGGTGGCAACTGTGGTACCAATTTGCCTGAGTGTGCTGTCGGCGGCGACCCCATCTGGGAGTACGCCACGCGTTTCGCGTGGAAAGGCATCGTGATCGAACCAGTGCCGCGCATATTCGCGAAGCTCAGCGAAAACTACAAGCCATTCCCGAGCATCAAGCCCGTGCACTGCCTGGTTAGCGACCACTCGGGCGCGGGCAAGATCATCGACCACTCTGAGATCTCTCACGAGATCAGCCTGTCGCGCAAGAACGGGGTGGAGGTGCAGACCTACACCCTCACTGTCCTCCTCGTCCTCTCTCCTCGTTCTCCTCATCACAGCTTCCCCCTCGCGTGCTCCTGCTCATCGTCAGCCCCCACTCCTCTGCCTCCTCCTGCACCCCCGCACCAGCAATCTGATCATGCGCCTGACCCGCGGCAGCACCGGCGACAGCACGATCGACACAAGAGGACGGCAATTTGAGAGACTTTGGCGACGTCCGAGAGGCGGTCCCTGGCCTGCGGCCGTGGGAGGAGGAGCTCCTTCGCAGGGCTACGCGTATGTGCGGCTGAAGCACTCGCCGCCCGCTGTGGTGGAAGTGGACGGGTGGACGGAACTGCATTGCAGCGCCGTGCGACAAGCGCCTGTGCTCTTCTGCACAAGCACACACACAGGTTTCACGTTCCATGAGGTTGCAGATCTCGCCGCCCGCTTTGGAAGTGGACGAGCGGACGGAACTGTGCTACAGCGCCGTGCGACAAAGCGCCTGTGTCATTCTACAAAATCACACACGCACAGTTTGAACGTTCCATACGGTTGCAGATCTCGCCGCCCGCTTTGAGGTGGACGAGCGAAGGGAGCTGTGCTACAGCGCCGTGCGACAAAGCACCGGCGTTCTTTTGCACAAACACACACACAGTTTGAACATTCCATGCGGTGCCGAAATATGTGTTCCAACTTCGCCCGTCGCACGATCAGCATTGAAATGGGGGTGGGGGGGGGGCTCACCAAGCACCGGTGGTTTTTCGCACGGAGTTGTACGAGCGCCACTGGCGATGGACAGGGCGAGTGGCAAGACAATCATACCAAATGTGCACAGGACTCGCTGCAGCTTGGGAGCTGCAGGTCCATGACACCCGACCAACACAGCGCAAACATGGTGGACAGCGCAAGCGGTGGTGTGATGGGGACGCCAAACATTGGTTGCATCATGCTTGCGACCAGACACCATGGGCAAGTTGGGAACACGCCTTCCTCGAGCACTTGTGCAGTGATCGGACCTTCGCGCACCTGCGCTGTCCCAGAGACCTGCCGGCCAGCCGGCCAGCTCCGCTCCCGCTCCTGTTCCTGCTCCTGCTCCTGCTCCTCCTCCTCCTCCTCCTCTTCTTCATCTTCCACCTCTGTCCCCTCCTCTGTTCATCTCTGCCTCCCCCTCATTCCCACCCATCTCGCCCATACCAGCACCCCTCCCCATCGTCATCCATTCCCCGCCTTCGTGAATTCTTGCTTCCTCTCACTCGCCGCCGTGTGCTCTTCCTCCTCGTCCGGAGGTAGAGACATTCACCTTGGTGGACTTGTGGAACGAAAAGTTCGGCAGCGACGAGAAGAAGGTAGTCGGAAAGTGCAAGAGTTAACTCCCTCCGCCACACCTCCTCCCACCTCCTAGCCCTCGCAGACGCTCGCGTCGCCCTTCCTCCTCACACACCTTCCTTTCTCATCCCCTGCCTTCCGTCCTCCTCCTCCTTCCCCTCGTTACGTCTGCTCCTGGGTTCCATCCCCCAACCTCCCTAGTCGCCCCTCTTCCTCGTCCATCCCCCATCCGTCTTCGTTGTCGCAGACCAGATGTTTCGGGGGAGGGTCAGGCATTTCGCGGGAGACTGCTCCACCGCGAGCAGTGCTGAACCTGGAATATTGCAACCGTTGCACGAATGGACTGCGGGTGTTCTCAATGTTGTGCCTCTCGCTTCAGCACCGCGCAGGCTCGTCGTACAAGTTGTTTGTTCCAGAAGTTGCACTTGTGGAAGGCGGCAGCTATCAACGTTTGGCCATCGCGTCACTTCTCGCCCGAAGGGCGGGCCCCACAGGGGCCCTCGTCCTTCGAAGGGCCGCCTCCGCCAGCGAGAAGACATGCATGCAGGGGCCGTTGAGCTTCTGGGAAGGGAAGGGGTCTTGGGACGGCCCAGTGGTTGAGATCATGCTTGACACAGCCTGGGTTCATTCTTGACTACCCTCGTCACCATCATGGTCGTCGTCGTCATCCCTCTCCCTGATCCTCATCAGTATCCTCCCTACCCGCTCCCCCTCAGTCCTCCTCATCCTGGACCTCGGGCCTGCGAGGTCGACATTCTGGTCGTCGACGCCGAGGGCAACGAGCCGAAGATCCTCGGCGGCCCGATCCCGGAGCCGCGCCCAAGCTTCGTGCTGTTCGAGATCTCCAGCCTCAAGGCCGAGGATGCGCGGCCGCCGCCTCCCCCCTGCCTCTCGACCCCGTCTGGGGTGAGCTGCAGGCCAGCCTGGTGCCGTCAAGACGCTGAAGCACGGACAACCTTGGGCTCAGGGGGGCCCTGGCTTTTGCGTCGCTCCCTGGGCTGAGGTGAGGGAATCTGCCCGTCGGTCGTTGAAAGTCGGTCTTTTTGCATTCCCAGATCCCAATATACTTTAGGCGTCTTCCTACTTCAATGATCGCGTGGTTGTCCCTCTTCCCTCCTCTTCAAGGGGCGGACGGAAGCCGAACCTACTTTCACCGCCTTCTTGCTCCATGTTTCCACCCACTTCTTCCGACCGACGGGTAATCGTGGCCGAGGCTCGCTGTTGCCAGGAAAGTCCCTTTGTTCCGTGACTGGCATGATGATTGCATTTGCGTCGTCCCATGCTTGTCTTCGGCTTTTGGAGGCCGGGCTGATCCAATTCGGTTCCGGTATTCGGACTATCCGATGCGGCCCGATGTTTACATGGCGTTGTTGTGTATTTGGTAGGGCTCAAGCGGTTCGATTCCGACTTCGTGCCGATGCAACCCGATCCGGCGTTCATTTCGATTTGACGCGATTTCCCGATGTGCTGCTGATTGGCGTATGCAGTGAGGAAGTAGTTGATAGTGAGCCCCCTGTCTCCCTCATCTTCCAGCTGGACTCTGCAGTGCGAGCGACCACCTCGACAGGGAGTCTGTCTTGCAACCGTTCCTGCCCCATTGCGTCCCTCCCCCCCGCTTGGCGCTGGCTGTCGCGGGGTCGCGTCCGATGTGTGTCGCCCTGCCCCCCAGCCGCCACCCCGCCACTGAGAGGGGAGGGAGGTCTGGCCTGCGCTCGTCTGCACGGGCCTGCGCACCCCTCCACATCACCATTGGTGGGGGAGACTTGCCCCGCACGCCCTCATCCTCGTGGTCCTCGTCGTCGTCGTCGTCGCCGCTGTCGTCGTCGTCGTTGTCGTCGTTGTCGTCGTCGTTCTTGTCGTCCTCCTCGAGGTCATCCTCGTCCTCCTCGTCATCCTCCTCATCGTCCTCGTCGTTCGCTTCCTCCTGTCTGACCCGGCAGTCCCTCCTCCTCCTCCTCCTCATTGTCATGGTCTTCGTCGTCGTCGTCGGCCCAGCGCCGCGTTCGACTCTGCAGGGCGCCCTTGCAGCAGCTCGGCGGAGGCAGACGCCCTGGGCAGCCAAGGGGCGCACACCAGACGTGCTCGCCCGGGTAGCCTCGCCGAAGGCACGGGCGCTCGGAGCCCCTCAGGAGCACGTTGATGCTCCCCCTTTTGGGGGATCTCCTTGCTTCGCATCGCTCGGACGTGTGCATTTTCCCTCGGTGGGGACCATCGAGGAGCATCCTTGATCACTTGGCGAAAAAACCACGCACGAAACCGAAAAAAACACAGGAAATGAACGTCCGAGCGATGGCCAGTGCAATCCGGGCGCTGCAGCACGTTTCTTAGTGCTGCGCGCGCTCGCCGAGGTTCGGGCCCCGGGGACCCGCACAGATCGACCGCGCTGGAGAAACGGCGCGGAAAGACTAGGGGGTCTGGGGCCCGGGTCGGGATGCTTCGGGACGCGCACTTCTTCCTGCAGCGTCGCACCTCAGGGCAGTTGACGCTTCCCCCTATGGGCTACCCGCCTCTGTTGCAGCCGCCGAGCGTCGGCGCGGCGTGGACACGGGCCAAGCGCGGGCGCTGGGTAGGGAGCCAGATGCGAACCCTGCCCCTACCCCCAAGATTTCTGAGGGGGAGGGTGGGTTCGCATGTGGCCCCTACTGTGGGGGGGGGGGGCGCAGGGTTCGCATGAGGCGAAGTGAACCCCACCCTCCCCCTCAGAACTCGTAGGGGGTAGGGGCAGGGTTCGCATGTGGCCCCCTACTGTGGGGGGGGGGCGCTGGCCCCCCCACGCAGGGACGCCTCGAGGAGCCGCGTCGTGGCACACCCTGGGCCGGCACAGACCCAGAGAGCGCGCGGGGCGGCCCAGGAGCGGCCTCGCCTCCAGGGGCGGAGGGGGTGGTCGCCTCCTCCGGGGCGGAGGGCGGCGGGAGCCCGCCGAGGCAGAGCGAGGGCGGCGTCGCCGGCGGAAGCCGGCGGAAGGCCTGCGGAAGCCAGCGGAAGCAAAGGATGCAACCCCAGGAGATGGCGACTTTTGTGGGTTCGTGGGAAAAACACAGGGGAAACACAACACACAAAAAAACACTAAAAACAACAACAGCAAAAAGAACACAACAAAAAACACAACACGAACACAAAAAAGCATGGTTGAAGAGTTTGCCAAGCATCGTCTTTGTAGAATTGCTCGTTTGCGGTGCGCCTTCCTGGCCGAGCGAGGCGAGCGCATGCACCAGTCTTCGCCCCCCAGGATGGGCCAGGGCAGGAGCGGTGCATGTGCATAGTTGCCGCCTTGCTACTCCAGGCTTACCAGACACATCTCCACACGCCGGTCGTTGAAGGTAGGCATTTGGATCCCCAGGTCGCAATCTACTCCAAGCGCCTTCCCACTTCACTGATCGATCTGTTTTGCTGTGTTGTGCTATCCTGACGAACGATCAACACACATACCCATACCCATAGGGGGGTCGTTGAGAGGAGGACTGGCTATGGGTATGGGTGCGGGTTGTCGGACCCTGGGGAATGCTCCCGTTCGAGCGGGGACCCCCATCCGACAACACGCACCCATAGCCCTCTCCGACCCACCAATGGGTATGGGTGTGTGTTGTTGGTTCGTCATATCCTCTGTGAGTGCCTGCACCCAATCTCCGTGATCCTTCTTCTCACCTCGTGCGTTTTCCTCTTCTTCCGACCGACGTGCGGCGGCTTGTGCCACGAAGTTGGCCTCCATGGGGCATTTCTCGGGACCCGGGCCGTCCAGGAGCAAGCCGCGGAGGAAGGTTGTGTCCTGGGGGTGGATCGCGAGAGTGCCGAGGCAAGCATGCTGCAAACACACAAACGACGTGTTCTGGGTTTGCCCCCTCCCAGAAGTGATTCGAGGTTGTGTGTTTAGCGGTGTCTCCGAGGAGTTCTCGAAGCGGCTTCCCCAGTCATCTCGAGGTACTCTCTGGTGGCTTAGAGGTCATCGAGAGCAAGAGAACCCCTAACCCGAAGAACACTACGAAGACATGCGTGGCCTCACTGAGGTCCCCGTTCTTACACCAGGGACAATCGTAGAATCTGGGCCGTCCAGTCTGACACATCTGGAAAATAGACCCCTTATCCCCAATGCTCTCGGCCCTCCTAACTTGGGCCCCCTTCTACAGTGCTAGGGGGGCACTTGTCTCGCTGATCGTGGAGGTCTCCCACCCCACGAGACGCACGACCTCGTCCGCCCCGCTCCCATTCCCAGTCCCACGGCGTCCTGCCGCAGAGAGAGACCAGCGGCCGCGCTCCGCTGCCAGTCTGGCCCAAGCCACGGAAGAGGCCCGATCCACTCGCGCGAGCGTGGGAACCCCGTCCAGCTCGTGACACAACTCGTACTAGCGGCAGCGCCACTGCCCGCATCCGAGGAGCAGGGGCACGGCAGAGGCACTTTTCCGGAGGCCCGCGCGGGCCTCCTGGATCCGCGCGTGCCTCCGAAGGCGAAAGTGCACGGCAGGTTTGTATCGGGTCGACGCGGCGCTGACACCCGCGCAGGCGTTCAAGGTTGACTGCCGCCAGTGGCCCAGAATCGGCCAGCGATCCACGCGGTGTCAGAGACCAACGCCCAGGTCGACGCGACACGCTCCCGCCGTACCCAGACCCCCGACGTCATGGTGGTTTCTTGAAGTGCCCCCCCCCAGAGGTCTGGACCCCTTCCCGGGGACCGGCTTTTCATGCTGATTCGACGTTTGATTGCCAGAGGCCTGGCAGGGCCCCCAGAGGCTGAAGCTTCGAACAAAATGCTTCGTCGCGATTCCTTCGTGACCCGAGTGGGTCTGGGTATGCCGTCTTCTGTTCCTCTGCAGACTCCCGCCCGAAGATGACGACCGCCTCCACCACGTCGCAGGCCTTGCTGCTCACGGCCTTCCTGGCGACCCTGGCAGGCGCTGGCGGGGCCCCGCAGAGCACAGGCCCGGCGCGGCACGAAACGGTTGTTCTTCCTTTTCCTCCTCCTCGCTCCTACTCCTCCTCGCTCCTCCTAGCCCCTTCTCTGTTCAGGATGCAGCACATGGGGCCCAAGAAGGCTTCCGCCGATAATGTACGGCTCTCTGTTACATCCCTCCATCGAGGCCTTTGGCCAGTGATGCTTCTCACGGCGCTTACGTATAACCCGCTCCATGCGTCAGGGGATCGTCTCCTCGACATCGCTGAAGAGCTCGCGAACGTGCAGATTGTCGGATTGCCAGGTGCCCAAAGAAAACCGCCCCTCGAAACGCAGCACAAGGTGTCCCAGATCAAGAATCGTCTGTGCATCGAGTCGGGGTGGAAAGCAAGCGGATGTTCAAACAATTCCGCAAGCGCGGCAGCGCTCCTTCCAGCAGGATGGCGACGGCGAGGCGTACGACACACCGCCACGCCGCCCTCACAGCTGCAAGGGAGGGGACTTGCCATATATTGTGGGAGAGGAGGGTGGCACGTGCTCACTGCTGCACTCTACTCCCCGCCCCGCCCGTCAAGTGCCCCGGCGTCCCGCACGCATCCCCCATGCTGCAGGCACCCCGGTGCATGGGCAGAGGCTCAGCTTAAGAGATTGCCGGCTCGCGTCCACCCTTCTTGTGCTCGCGGGCGTGAATGATCCTTTTCTCCTCCTCCTCCTCCTCCTCCTCCTCCTCCTCCTCCTTCCCCTCCTCCTCGTCCTCCTCAAGAAAGAGGGGGAGTGGACGGAGGCCGAGACGGAGGCCGTCGGTCGTGCGAGGGCGACGGGGGGGGCACATCGGAGAAGGAGGTCAACAATTTCGCGAGATTCTCGGATCGGCCAAATTCCTTTTTCACCGACAACCTTACACGTTGTTCATTCTCAATTATTCGAACGTTCTTTGATTTTGGGGGGGGCCCAGATCCTTTCTTCTCTCATGTTT